GATGTTCTTGGGATGGGTTTAGAAAGAAAGATGTGAGACTTGGGATGCTTTATTGGCTCTTGCAAACGTTCTAATTCTGGGATTGGAGGTGCTTTATAGCTGTTAGAGCTTGATTTAGGTTGATAAAATGCCTGTAGACAGATTTGGAGTGAGAAGGAAGAATAGTGAATATGCTGTGATAGTTCTTAAATTGAAGGGCGCAATCGAGAAGTAGCATCTTTTTAAGCGAACCAAGTGGATGCGTGTGCTATACCTTTCCTGGTTCTGCTCATTTTACTCTGTCTGGGTTTGAGTTGCCATATTAAAGTAAGGTATTTTCGTTTGGGTGGGTTTTAGCTACTTTGTTCGAGCCATACAGTTGTGAGAGTCCAATTAGATCATATAGGAGAATGAGTTCAATACTTAGTTTTGACAAGTTAATAGCTAGTAATCCATGTCTCTGCACCCGGCAAATGCGGATCTTGGAATTAGACATAGGATGTATATTTGTCTGTATCTGATGCTTTCGGGGGATTCGTGGTGGAGTTTCTGTTGGGACAAGATTGTGTTCGAGTTGGACCTGAGCAGGTCCTTAAAAGGCCTTCCCCGGTACAGTGGAGGGATCTCCCTGTAAGTTCTCTCCGTATTCCTTCTCTCCCAGGAAGAAAAAGATAGGGAGGGAACTTAGGGGCCTATGGGCGGAGAAGGTAAACTCCACGTCAGTTTTGGTTGGCTACCTCCGGGTAGGCAGGTATAGTTGCCCCCTGCGCTTGGGGTGACATAGGGGAGCTTCGGCTCTTGCTTGGTTGGCCTATGCTTCGCACAATGACAAGATTGTGTTCGAGCATCTTCGGAATGGTATTTGTCTTTGGTTCGAATGAATTTATGGGTTTGGAAGCAGGATTTAAACTGCCAGTTCTTATCCCAATGAGTGTCCCACTAGATGGTGACAATCATCCCTTGTCATTAATGTCTTTCATCATGAATGGTGAAATTAGATTCAAAATGGTCAAAATGAAGTAAAAAGAATAGATCTCTCATTACAGTTTCTAAAACTTTATTAACTTCTCCTTTCTAATCAGTGCGACTATCATCAAGACGAGTAGAATATTTTGCTTATCAGAGTTTGCACTAACTGTTATTTAATGGGCAATGTATTATGGTTCAGGAGGAGTATGACACCCATGACCCCAGTGGACATTGTTCACCTGTATTGCCTTTCCTGATGAACAGGACAAAGGTTATTGAGATAGTGGCTGCACATGACATTGTCTTCGCTCTTAACCATTCAGGTGTTTGTGCAGCTTTCAGCAGAGGTACACACTTGATTCATTTGTCCATATAGGACTGAAAATTTTTACACAAAAATCCAGTGAGCTAATCTAATGCCCACAACTCCATAATAGAATCTGCATGTAACAGTTTATGTGTGGCTATTCATGCAGAATCAAATGAGAGGATATGTTTCTTGAATGTTACTCCTGATGAAGTCATTCGGAGTTTGTTTTACAACAAGAACAATGATTCACTTATTACAGTTTCAGTATACGCTTCTGACAACTTCAGCTCCTTGAAATGCAGATCTACAAGGATCGAGTGAGTACAGTTTACCTTTTGTTTGTTGTTCTTTCAACTTCGGGAAGCAGATTTTGTACATAACATGATGTATTCTATTCTCTCTCATAGATACATAAGGAGGGGCCAACCAGATGCTGGATTTGCTCTTTTTGAATCAGAATCCTTGAAGTGGCCTGGCTTTGTGGAGTTCGATGATGTAAATGGGAAGGTTCTTACTTACTCGGCGCAAGATAGGTATGCTTCTTTGATAAAATTGTAGATTGTTACCATAGACTCACTCCTTGATTGATCCTCTCTTTTCTCCCCGCTTTTTTGCCAGTATATACAAGGTCTTCGACTTGAAAAACTATACGATGTTGTATTCCATCTCGGACAAGAATGTGCAAGAAATAAAAATCAGGTAATCTCTCTCTCTCTCTCTCTCTCTCTCTCTCTCTCTCTCTCTCTCTCTCTCTCTCTCAGATGCATTTGCTTGCATGTGCCTGCAAATTTGAACAATGATAAGCTCAATTTTCAGTGTGAATTTTGGTATGGATCATGTGAAGTGAAGAACAAGTAGGGCCTCTGCTAATTGATGAGATACCTTTGTGGTGATAGTGGTTCACTTGTCACAGCCCCTTCTTTAAACTACTCATAAGGCTCCTTAAGAGACTTTAATTGCTGACTTTGTGCCATCAACTATGTAACTCAGGTGATAGTACATGTATTCTCCATGTGTCTAGTTGTTTCAACTATCTTTTAGCTAGATGCTTAAGTTATAGATATATTGATACACATCCAGTTGTTAACTATACAATCATACTTAACGTTCTCCTCTTTTAAGAAGATCTTTGCTGCTGTAAGTGCCCATCACTACAGTAGCCAGTAACCATAAACTCAGTCTCTATATCTACAATTGCTAGTTGTCAGTTGTAAGCATGTTATCTTCTGTCTATCACAAATTGAATATAGAACTGAACAAGATGGATTTCCAGAAAATACGTATGTATTATGACATGTCACTGCTTCATCTTGTAATACATATGAATCGTACACTGCTAATGCCTTTCTTTTTCCACTTTTTATGGTTACAGTCCAGGTATAATGCTACTGATTTTTAATAGATCTACTAGCCACGTTCCTCTTAGGATACTGTCAATAGAGGATGGAACAGTCCTCAAGGCCTTCAACCACCTACTTCATCGCAATAAGAAGGTGGACTTCATAGAACAGTTCAATGAGAAGCTTCTGGTCAAGCAAGAAAATGAGAATCTCCAAATACTTGATGTATAAAATATTTCTCTCTAAATATCTCTTTCATGTCTTTTTCATCTTCATCCTGGTAAATGTTAGTTTTTCTTCCTTGAAGGTTCGTAATGCTGGAGTAATGGAAGTTAGCCGGACGGAATTTATGACTCCATCAGCATTCATCTTTCTTTACGAGAATCAGCTGTTCTTGACATTTAGAAATAGAACCGTCTCAGTGTGGAACTTCCGCGGGGAGCTCGTGACTTCATTTGAGGATCACCTTTTGTGGCATCCTGATTGCAACACGAATAACATCTACATAACTAGCGATCAGGATCTCATAATTTCTTACTGCAAGGCCGATTCTGACGATCACTGGACAGAAGGGAATGGTAAGCATTCTTCTTTGCAAAATTGACATTGAGCGAGGGCCATGCATGATTCTGGTGTTGATGTATTTGCGAAATTGACTTTGCTGGTCAATTGGGATATGCTTCTCTATAATTTACCCTTATAATCTGTCGTTGCTATGTAAATATACATTAGTTGTTCCTTTTTTATATAGCAGGGGATGACTGTTGATGTGGCTTTACATTTTTAGATGCTTGTGTCTAGGATTCATTTTGTCTCTTTCGGTACAGCTGGGTCGATCAATATCAGCAATATCTTGACTGGGAAATGCCTGGCCAAGATAAATGCGACTAATGGCAGTCCAAAGGCCGACGAATGTAGCAGTGATGGCGGGAACTTGAAGAAGCCAAAGCTGCTCGGCGGCAAGTTAAAGAAGCCAAAGCTGCTGGGCCACTCTCAGAGGATGAGAAGCACGGTCTCAGAGGCCCTGGAGGACATAACTGCACTTTTCTACGACGAAGAGCGGAATGAGATATACACCGGTAACCGTCGTGGCTTAGTTCATGTATGGTCTAATTGAAGAACTTGTCAGTTCAGTTGATGTGTGGAGAACCTGCAAAAATTGGCATCGCGGGTAGGAAAGCTGTGACGCTCCTCAAGGCGCCCCCTTTGATGGGTGATGACTGCGATGCACGTAGGAGTGTATTGTGCAGTCCATGTTGTAACATTAATAGGTGTTTCTTAGATTTGTTTGACGATAGCGTATTGAAGATTTGATGTGTTTCGGGGTAGAATGCTAATACCAAATGCAGATAGCAAGACTTGTATGTTTCAGAAATTCCTGCAAGATTCTTGGATCTGTGTTGTCAATTTGATATTTGTTCTCTTACTAATTCCGTTAGCTTGCCGTTTATTATCCTCCTTGGTCGGATTGGATGCTTCCGCATTTTCCTCTTTAATTTTGATCTTCTAGCTGCTCGCCACCACTAAACTTGGCAAGCCCCGAAATCGGCTGCCACCACTGGTAGAACCTCCAAACTCAACGCCCACCACTGATTGATTTGCGCCAATCACCAACATAGCCTCCACCACCACTAGCTGGCCACCGCCGGCACCACGCGCACAAACAAATAGCTACCGGTCCACTACCACCAAAATCAGCCATGGACCAACCCACCAACTTCCTTTTCAATGAACCCTAGTTAACAAAGGATCCGGCAGCCGTCTGATTGTTTCGTCGGGACATTCCTACATTTTTTTTTTATTTGTTAGCATCAGTCCCATCGATCCTCACACATGATTTTTTGTTGTGGGGAATAGCCATTTCATGGAATGACTCAATATTATTGAGTGTTGAATATGACTTATTTATTTATCAATAAGGGAGTTAAATGAAGAGTGAGCTACGTCACCACGATTTCATATTTTGTATTTAGTGATGCCTGAGTAGCAGCATCAAGGACTGACGCGATTTTAAGTAAAGGCGGGAATGTGTTTTGTTTGGGAAAATCACCCAATCACATGCTAGCTCTCATTTAGGCCGTTTTGCTGAAACTTGGATTTTCCATATTCGTGAGATCAAATTACTGCCGGGTGAACTTCCATAACTTTTTTTTATGCGTCAGACAATGTGAAAAGCCTCGTAAACTTGGATTTTTTTACATGCATTATAGTACTTCATTAAATTTAAGGAAAAGAGGGTCACCCCATATCCTAGCAATCTAAGCATACTTGAGCAACGAAGAACAAATGTCTAAGCTAGCTGTTCACTTTAGAAACTAGCTTTTAATGTCTCCATATGTGAGATAGTCATTGCGTCGATTGAAAAAGAAAACGGTAGGATTAAAGTATTGCAGATCCTATGTTTAATCCGCGCACGAATAATCTTTGTATCGCATTCTGCGATCTTGGAGCACCATTCGAATCCTGATGCTGTTTGGACAATCGAGGACCATCAGTTTTCTTGCAGAACTCACGCACGTTGCACAATTGTTGTACGAAAGCTCTTGGCTGCAAACAGTGTGGCCATAAGCAGTCGCGTCGGCAGAAGCAGAACGGGTATAATAATCGTAGCCAGGGTGGTTGGCCATCACAGTCGCCATATCTTCGAAGACGCACAATACGCTATTCGCATAAGGATCGTCCTGTTCATATACAGTGCAGTTACAAATCTTGCTTACTATGATTATATCGGGGTCACCCCGGACAACATTAAAAGCGAAAAAGAGACCGAAAATAGTGAGAGCAATTCGACAAGAAAAAGCCATTTTATGTTTTTTTTCTTGTTACCAACTTCTATTTGCATCTTATTTAAGTGGAAGACCATTTAAAGGATTTAATCATCTTTGTTTCCTTTGATGCTTTGTCTCGTGGATTAATATATGTATAAAATAGGTTTTGATTAATCCTAGATGTTAGGATGCACGTATGAATTGTGTTAGAGAAATCCCATATCGAAGAATTGGTATGATGTAGTGTAGTTAAAATATTCTAGTTGACCCATAATTTATTGGTTTAAGCTTTTGAGTAAAAGTGAGCCCAACTGAATAGCTTAACAAGCTCAGACTTGGTTGTCTTTTGGCGATTTCCCCAGGCGAAAGGTATTGGGCGTCTGCTGTTTGCTCCCAACAAAATGGTATCAGACCCGATGGGCCGCCAATCTAATTCAAGTTGAGATATCTTGATATAGAAAGATACCTAAATTAAGGGGGAGATTGTTAGGATTGTTTAATATTATATACTAGTTGGCCCATAACTCATTTGACTTAACATTTTGAGTGAAGGTTGGAGAGCAGACCTAACACTGAGCTCGCATGTGAGGAATAACACTGAGCTCGGCGTGTGAGGAAGAGATTGTTAGGATGATCCCACCTAACACTGAGCTCATACATAAGGAGGAGATTGTTAGGACGATCCCACGTCCCAGTTGGCCCATATCCCATTTATCTTAACCTTTTGAGTGAAACTGGGTTCAACTGGATATATTAACATATTTGGACTTAGGCCCCCTCTTGGCAATCTCTTCAGGCGAAAAGTATCATGCTTACACCAGATGTCTATTTCTAGATGCTTTCGTTAATGGTGTGATCTTTACTTGAATTTCATGAGAAATTTGTCATTAGCTGTTCGTTGTTTTGTGCAAATTATTCGAGGAACGTAACTTCGGTCGTCCATCTATTGATCATTAGCCGCTAATGCGTACAATGATCTTTCTTGAAGTCAATATTTAAATTCAGAATTTGCCCAAAAGGAAATAATTTAGATTTATAATAACGATTTTGTCTCATTTTCATTGTCTTTGATAATATTTGTTCTTTGTCAGTCTCATTTAGATATCATTTTACAATTTACTCTCATTTCTCGTTTTGACGATTAGATTACTAGAGTTCAACATACACAATCTACCGAAACTAATCATGACATTCAAACTGATAGAAAAATAATATTATATAGACTTTGTTATTACCGTTTATAGATTGCAATCGTCATGAATTGGATTTCGCAAGGAAGACAACCCATAATTATTAAGGCTCCGTTTGTTTCAAAAAAAAAATTATTCTGAAAATATTTTCAAAGGAATTTATTTTGAAGGAAAATGAATATCGACTGTATTTTGCAAATAATAAGAAAGTCCTTTCTCGATATTTGATGCAGGAATTATAAAGCATACCTTTGAGAAAAAATCTCAAGTACAACCTCAGATTCTGGGTTGGGGCGCCGGAGACTCACCCCCAAGCGCCAAGGTCTACTTTTATTTTGAAAAATAATTTCTGATTTTTAAACGAGAAAATCATTTAGCCTATATTATTATCAATATTACATATTGGGTTATTTATAGTATTATTTTACCTTCAAGTTGGTTATTCGCCAGCACCAAATCTACCTGACTTTAAAAAGAAAAAAAGAAAAAGGGAAAACGCTTGACCAAAAGTATTCGAAAACATCTTCAATTTCCGAGAACTGGTAATTTTCGTATCTCATCCTATAGTAGTAGAGCCAAATGTAAACCCATGCTATTTGGGCAGTTATTGAGTATATGATTCTTCACTGAGCTCATGCAAGTAGCTTAATCAGTAGATGAAATCGGTCGACTGGTAAAAGCATGGCCATAAGCCAGTGTTTCAAAGTCAGGAGAATAGGCGTAGCAATCAAAGTTAGGGTAGTACCACATAGAGGTCGCCATGTCCTCAAGAACATACCATAAGATCACCGCTTCCATAAACATCACCGTTGCAAGTTATGGTTACTAATGTCGTGCTCGGATCGCCCTGGACGAAATCGAACACGATAAGGAGACTGAGGAGAGGGAGTGCAAATCGACGAACAAAAGCCATAACCATGTTTTATCTTTTCTGTTCTTACCAACTCTTCCTTCCTTCCTTTCTTTCCTTTTCCTTTTGCTGCTACTTTTGTAAGACTATATATAAAGCACTCATCTTTGTTTCCTCCGATAATTTGAGCAATAGATCCCTATATCCGTCGGATATTAGATATGCTTTGTCGATCCGGGATGTCGATATCGAAGATACTTTGTTTGATCCTTCTCTCCATGTAGCTATTTTCTACCTGTATTGATGAAAATAATGCCGTCTATTAGATGCTCGGAAGACCGGAGAGATATGGCTTAGTTTGAATTGGCTTAAAAAATCTGTCGACGGTGTCAAAAATGGCGGGCCAATCAGTCACCCAACCTGAGATAGACTACACGGGCCTTAGCCATGCCCATGCCACGCGACACCGCCCCCTCGTACCTGGTGGTGCCTAAGCATTAACGGTGGCCGTCGAGGTCATAGCATTGGCAGATTGACTTGATCATACGAATTAAAAGGTTTGGGTACCAATTCAAAGTTTTTCCCTGGAAGTTTCAACCTTGTTGACTATGACAACAGCGACAACAATAAACAAACAGACTTACGACTATGGCGGGGAGGTCGTACCGTCCTGCTCTCTCGCCACCCATACTCTAGTCAAAAGACTGAAGGCCCCTACTGAAGATTCGAAAGGCGAGCATTGGAATGAGAAAGGCTTGTAGACTCGTGAGGCTGAATGGTTCAGATCTTGTCTCATGTTCGGATTCGTACCCATGACCTCAGCGACCCTACCGGCCGTAAATCCCTTGAAGGAAAAGAAAAGAAAAAAGAAAATAAACAAAGAAAGAAAAGGGAAGGATAAAAAAGGAAAAAAAAAAATTCAAAAAATTGAAAAAATCAGCCATGTCAGCGTCGATTGTAACCGGCTGTGCCATGTAGGATGGCCGACGCTAATTAAACCGCCACGTCATCAATTTCCGACTAAAATTGACCAAATGGACTATATTGAAAAATCGTCAAATGATTGATGACTAAATTGACTAAATTGAATAGTTTGGGACTGCATTGACTGTTGTACATTTGAGATTTTTTGGACAATTATCTCCTAGAATTCCTAATATAAAGTAAAGAAATAAGTGCATAAATAGTATTTAATGTTTGGACTGTTGGTTAATTGAAAATTCAAGTTTTTATTTTGGTCAATCAGGAACTTAACATTTTAAACAACCCCAAATTGAGAATCGAGCTCGCTGTCAGTGTAATTCAGGCGTAAAATATCCAACATGGTATATGTGGTCATTTGCCATGTGTCATTTCCAACATACACGAGTTTGACAATTTTATCTTTTGGTATACTGGTGAGCATGAAATCTAGTTTATCTTATGATATATAGATTATGAATACTCGGAAAACACCCTGTGTGCAACGTTGACAATCTCACAAGTTGAAACTTTACTGAATTTCCACTTATTGGTATCATCTTCTACATAATCAATCCTCCCTTTAACAGTAACAGAATTTGTGGAGTTTGACATATCGGGAAGCATAGGACAACGTTCTTTTGCTGATATTATTACCAATGCTCTATACTGGGTTGTTTTAGTGTCCTTATCCCTTAGTAGAGACTGGCGTACTTTGAGAAGAGAGAGAGACCAAAGCAAAAGCTCTTCAGTTTTCAGATTCATCGTCAGCAGCAGATGAACCGCACCAGTCTGTGCCCTGCTTCCTCCATCTTCCTTCTTCTTTTTCCTGCTCCATCTGCCATCTCCGGCCAGTCAGCATCCCATTCCCTTCTCTGTCTCCCTCTCTCTTCTCGCCGTCGTCGGGGCTTTTGTTCGATCCCCACTTCTAATGTAGACGACCCGAACCGGTTCTTGAGTTACGTGAGGACAAATTGTAGAGCTAGTGGTGGTGGTGGTGGTGGGTTGACGAGGGTCGGCGACGCCTTGTGTTGCTTCGGTAAAATGATTAAGATCTACCCTTTGCCTTCTTCCAGAGATTTTAGTCTACTGTTGGGTGCTATAGCGAGGATGAAGCAGTACTCGACTGCTACCTTGATCCATGGTCTGTGCAATGTAGGCCAGATGGAAGATGCTCTCGTATTGTTGAAAGAGATGACGAGAGCAGGCATACAACCCGACATATTCACTTATAACTCCTTGATTCATTGCTTATGCAACCTAGGCCAATGGAAAGATGCTACTGTGTTGTTAGAGAAGATGATGAAGGTAGGAATTGAACCGGATGTGGTTACTTATACCTCCGTCATTCAGGGAGTGTGCAATTCCGGCCAATTGAAAGAGGCTCGAAGACTGCTGAGTCATATGGTGCAAAGCAGAGTAATGCCGAATGTTCAAACCTTCACTATCCTGGTGGATGCACATTGTAAAGAGGGAATGCTTGCAGAGGCAGAGGCCATAGTGGACCAGATGATTCAATTAGGTATAGTGCCTTCTAATTTCTTATATAATACATTGATGAACGGTTATTTTTTGCAAAATAGAATGGACGATGCGATCGAAGTGCTTAATTTGATGGTTGAAAGAGGCTGCTCACCTGATGTCGTTTGTTATAACACGTTGATTAACGGATATTGCAAAGCAAAAAGAGTTGACGACAAGTCCGAGATGCTTTTCCGAGAAATGCTGAAAAGGGGCTGTAATCCTGATGTCATCACGTACAGCACTCTCGTCAACGGATTTTGCCAGGTTGGAAACCTTCAAGCCGCGGAGGAGCTAATAAACGAGATGCAATCTCGGAATCTATCTCTAGATCATTATACCTTGAATGCTTTCCTGGATGGCTTGTGTAAAATGCAGCAGATTAACAAGGCCATGATATTGCTCCGAAAGATGGAAGATTCCAAATTCGTCCCCAACATTGTGACTTACAATACCCTAATAAATGGCATGTGTATGCCGGAAAGCTCGACGATGCAAAAGGGCTGTTTGATTGT